GGCTTCTTGTTCTGTTTCATAGCCTGTTTTAATTTTTGTCACATATGAATCTCATCTGAGTGTCTGAAATGAACTTTCTTATTTTAAATGGACCAGAACCTTCATTCAATCTTACACTTCATTTGATTATGATAACCAAAATTTACAACTGCCTTTTAGCTTAGGAAAATTCATATTTAGAAAACCAATTAATTTTATTTCCATGGAAAACAATATATTCTTGATATGTAACTCTTCTTTTTTTCCTTTTCTTTTTAACAGGCACAACAAAAGAAGGAAGTTCTATGTAGATGCTCGATGCCATCCTCAAACTATAGCAGTGGTCCAAACTAGAGCAAAGTAATGTTTCTCTCCACGTTCCACCATATCTTTTCCCTTACACCGAATCATTTTTCATCCACACCTCTTCACCATATACCTAACATTTCTGGAATATAGGATTATGCTTTCTTTGTAAAATAGAAGCAGAAATAGGTTAACATTTGGCATTGCTTCTATTTTTCCATTCAAATACAACTGCAAAGTAATTAAAGATGTTTAAAAAGAGACTAAATGTCTGATAAAAAGAAAATATTTAATTTCCCCTTACGCTGTTTGTGTAAATATATACATTTGGGTCACTGAATTCAGTCTGGTCATTTTTTTAACTAGGAAATTAATTCCCCTAGATAGAAAAACTTCTCTTTTAATGAAAGCTAAATCCATTTTACATTTACAGTTTAGAGTAACCATGTTCTAAAAATGTCATTTGGTTCTCAAAGATAAACATGCTAAAGCAGCAAAATGTTGATATCAAGTAGCTTCTGTATCCTCTGCTCTGCTTTGCTCCATGTTTCTGATGATGATATCAAATGCAGTTATTCTTCAGTACTATATACCATGACATGAAATTTTCTCAATGTTTAGCACTGCAAAGCTGGTTCAACTCTCTGTATGTTAAAGAAAAAAGTCATATATGCATCCATGAAAACATCATATTAAGTATCACTCCAAGGCAGGAAGTGGTTTGAATATGTTGTCTTCTGCATGTTTTTGTTTTCCAGTTATACAGGTGTTATTACTGAGCTCAAATTACCCCATGAGATGGATTTCAGTGGAAAGGATGTCAGTGGAGTATTATTTCAGTATCCAGACACTGAAGGGAAGGTAGAAGACTTCTCTGAACTTGTTGAAAGAGCTCATCAGAATGGGGTAAAGTAAATTTTATTGGTCTCACAGATTTCAACCTGATGCATCAAAGAGACATAGTTATGGAAACTAAGTGTTACATGACATACTGTCTAAAGTATTACTCTTCAGTTCCATGCAACTGATAACCATTACAGCCATTACAACCATTGCACCTCAGCTCTGTGATGAGGTGGATGGATGGAACTGTTTGAAGCTGTATCTTATTCAAACTTAGCTCCCGTTCCCTCAGAAAAGAGGCTGACTGCTCTGTGCATGTCTGTTCTCAGACTCTCTCCTGCTGCGCTGCTGATCTTCTGGCTCTCTGTATCCTGAAGCCTCCTGGAGAGTTTGGGGTAGATGTTGTCCTGGGTAACTCCCAGAGGTTTGGCGTGCCGCTCTGCTACGGGGGACCCCATGCGGCATTCTTTGCTGTCAAGGAAAATCTAGTGAGAATGATGCCGGGCAGAATGGTGGGTGTTACAAGGTAAGGGCTCCCTTTGCCGTTAGTGTCTTCAGCGAAAATCAAAATGAAACACACTGTGACTGTCTTGTGCAGCTTTTATGAATAACAGCTGACCATGGTGTTGTACTGAACACATCTTTTCTTTAAAACCGGGAGAATAAAAGTTGCCTTCAATATTTAGGAAGCAAGCTCAAAGAATGGCATTTCTGTGGAATGAAGCTGTGAACTATCTATAGTGATTGCTGCAATGTGTAATGAAGAGATAATCGAAACAGCAGAGAGCATTAATTGTGCTGGCATGAGGCTTTGCAAGCAAACTTAGTCTTCTTATTCTGTACTGTTATACCTTTTTCTCTGACATCCAGTCATTAAAAACATAAATGGGAAGAAGTAGAAAATTCAATGAATCTCCCAAATAATCAAGAAGGAACTTAATCTAGTTCAAATTTTAGTCAAGCTTAAACAAAGCAGAGAAGTAGTGTGCAAAAACTTACTCTAATTCTTGTTATTTATGACATATTTTGAATTTTGACAAGGTGTCTAACTGGGAATAGTAGAAATGCAAAGTAATTGTCACTGGAAAGACTGTATATCTTTGGCACAGAAGCTATTCAGAAGTACTTCAGTAACCAAAATAACTAATGACATTAACAGTTATCAATAAGCTTAGAAATATTTCATTTGTATAGTAATACTCATTCAAATATATTTTTAATCATCTTGCTTATTCTAAGGGTATCCATAGGCTTTACTTATAGTTCTGAAATCTGATCCCCAATTCAGATTTTGATCAGAAGTCTGGTACAATCTTTTACAAAAGAACAGTAATTCTATTTATCAAGGTCACGCTACTGCTACTCTGTGACTACGCCTAGTTTAATATTTTTAATCTGCTTTCATCTTTCTGCATCTCAAGAAATTTGGAAAAGAAAATGTTAAAATGGAAAAAGCTATGGTACTTTCTCAATGCACCTTCCTGCTATGGATTTTTTTTAAGTTTTTGATCACAGAATCACAGAATGATTGAGGTTGGAAGGGATCTCTGGAGGTCATCTGGTCCAACCCCCCTGCTCAAGCAGGGTGACCTGCTCTAGCAGAGTGACCTGGCTCTAGCCAGTAGCCCAGGACCATGTGCAGATGTCTTTTGAAGATCTCCAAGGAAGGAGACTCCACAGTTTCTCTGGGCAACCTGTGCTAGGGTTCAGTCACCCTTATAGTGAATAAGTGTTTCTTCATGTTCTGGAGGAACCTCCTGTGTTTCAGTCTGCACCCACTGGCTCTGGTCCTATCACTGGGCACTGCTGACAAAAGCCTGGTTCCATCCTCTTTGCACCCTCCCTTCAGGTATTTATATACATTGATGAAGTCCCCCCTAAGCCTTCTCCAAGCTGAACCATCCAAGCTTTCTCAGCCCCTTCAACATCTTTGTGGCCCTTCAGTGGACTCTCTCCAGTACCTCTGTATCTCTCTTGTTCTGAGGAGCCCAGAACAGGACACAGTATTCCAGGTGTGACCTCACCAGTGCTGAGGAGAGGGCAGGGATCACCTCCCTTGACTTGCTGGCACAGCTTTGCCTAATGCAGCCCAGGATACCATTCACCTTCTTTGCTGCATGGGCACATTGCTGGCTTATGTTCAACTTGGTGTCCGCCAGGACCCCCAAGGTCTTTTCTGTCAAGCTGCTTTCCAGCTGGGTGGCCCCCAGCATGTACTGGTGCGTGGGGTTCTTCACCAGGTGCAGCACTTTGCTCTTTCCCCTGTTGAACTTCATGAGGTTCCTGTCAGCCCATTTCTCCAGTCTATCAAGGTTCCTCTGGATGGACTGATGATAAACTATGCTATATAGTCAAAATCCCCAAACAACTGCTAGAGTAAAAATGATTTAAATATCATATAACTGGTATGCAAGTACTTGGGGCAAGTAGTCTAGCTATTCAAACCCCCACATATGTACATATATATATATGTATACATAGTTTGTCCCTTTCATTTTGTGGCTGTTCTGAAAGTTTTCATAGTTTTAAAGGATATTAGATTGGGTCTTAATTCTCCACTTTTAACATGTTAGGAACCCTACAAAAGGAACTCTTAAAGGATGGATTGACCAGAGCCATTTCAGTTATCTCATACAAAGCTGTTGGAAGGGTTATCTTTATATACAAACTCAACATGCTCTTACTTGACATCATTAGAAAAGATGCTGCTGCCTTAGTGTTTATTCAAATTAAGTTGTGGATTACTATTCAGTTAAAATAGTTGCAATAATTTGTGGCATTTTAAGGCAAATACCAAGTTTTGGTGTAGTATGCTTAGAAAATTCAGTGTGCTCTACCTGACCAGACACATTTGTCAGTAATGATGTAAATAGAAATCTAGAGACTTTAGTCTCACTCTCTGCTTGATATCACAGCTGTCCTGACTTACGCTTTATTCTCCCCAGCACCTTTCTGTCTCTGAGGACACATAACTAGTTTCAGGTTAGCACACATAGAACCCAATGTCTTAAATTACTGTAATTTTAAAGTAACAGAAGCAACATTTTCACTTGTGACATAGAGATGCAAACGGAAAGGAAGTGTACCGGCTTGCTTTGCAAACACGAGAGCAGCATATCAGGAGGGATAAAGCTACCAGCAACATCTGCACAGCACAGGTAACTTTTCATGCTTTATTTTCAGCAGTAGAAAGGAAGAAGTTAAGCCATAAGATTATAGTTCTAACATCACAGTAATTTGAATTAGCTTTACTTTCAGAGTTTTTACTAGAAAAATTAAGAACATTGAAATATTCTGGTGTCTGTGCATTTGTTTTGAGTCCTTTGAAAAAAGGAACCCTGCTTGAAAAGGGCATATTAGTATCTATTTACTTCAGTAAATACTTTAGCCCTGAATTCATGCAGTGTCATGAGTCCATGTGTCTCATAGGGTGAAAGCCACTGAGCAGTGCTGTGTTTGTTATGAATGACACAGATTTCTTAATAAAACAGAAGGGAATTCTAATGATCTGAAATTTCTCACTCAAGGCAAAGAAAATCCATTTTTAAATTCTAAAACTACTTGTTCAAATTGTCACAACTTATATTTTTGTCTATGTGGTTTGATGGAAAAATATGACGTTGCCAAAGAGCTATCTTTATAGGAAAATGCCATGATTAAGTAAGTAATTATCAAAAATAGTTATCTTCAGCATGCCTCCACAGACCTTCAGCCAGACAAGTTCAAAATTTTTTCTGCTTCTATCAATGCTTTGCTCATGCTGTTAAAGTTGTTCCAGATTTTGAGGAGGGATTATTAATACTAAACTGAGCTCAATTACTTAGTATTCATGAGATATTCCATAAATGTTTTATACCAATCTTAAACAATGAGTATTTCTGTGACACTAGCTTTACTTGAGAGTCTTTGAACATCTTTGTTGCAGTAGTTGAATTTAAATTCATGTTAATTGCTGACACAGTTACATTTCAAAGGGCATTGAATTCATAATCAGTGCTTACAGTTTCATAAAAGTATTTTGCCTTTCCCGCATTTCATTTTGTAGGCAACATATAATCAAGTATAACATCAGCTAAGGGTATGTGGTTGTCCTTGGGTGCTAAAGAAAATTTCCACTAGACTAACATGACATAGTCTTTGATAATAACAATAACAGTAACACCACCACCACCACCACCACAACAATAACAATAACAACAACAACAACAGCAGCAGCAGCAACAACAACAACAACAATAACAATAATGATAATAATGATGTCCTAAACTGTATTTGGATCCTAGGCTCTTCTGGCTAACATGGCAGCCATGTTTGCTGTATACCATGGGTCTGATGGATTAAGGCATATTGCAAGACGCGTACACAATGCTACTCTAATCTTGGCTGAAGGTGAGTATTTAATGTTTGCAGAAACTGTTCTTAAATCCTTACACCTTCTTAAATAATACATCTTCTTAAATAAACTTATGGGGTTTTTTTGCCAACTGATGTTTGTTCTCTCAACTCTAGAGAGAACATTTTAAAACAAATTTCATAGCTAATGTTTTTGTGTACTTCTGATAATGACATCTAAGAATTAGGTATCTGTGGTATTAGCTTGCAAGCATTACTTTGTTTCCTTGGGAAACTAACAGAAGTCTCTAGATAGTGAGATTCAAATGCTGTTTTCCAGTTGCAAGCTCTGTACTTCACTTACTGGACCATCCTAGTTTACACACAGAAATCTGCACAGACTATTAATAACATAGCAAAAATAAGTAATAAATGAGATTAAAGAAATAGGAATATTTCAGTTAAGTTGGGTGGAGTATCATACCTGCTATGAACACTGAAATCCCAAAGTTTAACAGCTGTCTGAAAGCACAGAATCTGTAGCAGAAAATAATGATTGCAGCTGGACTATGTGGTCTGCTAGGTTTTCTTCACTGGCATGACTATCATCGCTGTCAGAAGGAGCTATGCAGAACTGGAATGCTGAGAATTGAGGAATGATTGCCACAATTATCCGTGCTTTATTTGCCAGCTTAGCTGGAAGACCTTTTGCTGCTGTGAAAAGCACTAAGACTCTAAAGTTTGTTATGGCAAGCTCCATGATGGTTAATATCCACTTATATAATAAAATTTTGCTTTCCAGTCTTGTGATTTTGTCCTTATTACATTCATATACCAATTCTGCTACTGTATATATTACAAATTTGATGCATCAGAAGGATCTTCCCTAGACTCAGTCTGCATTATTAATTAGGTCTGAATCTGATTCAGATGCATTTCATGCACAGTGACATTTCACCAAAAAGCTAGTGATTTTGCTGCTCTATACACAAGGGGAATATTTTGCTTTACTATGTAAAAGCATTTACTTACAAGATTAATAGTGTAGTTACGCAAGTCATGTGTAAGCAAGCAATACAGTAGGCAGCTAATAGAATTAACTTACTGTTTTTTATAGGTCTCAGGCGAGCTGGTCATAAACTACATCATGATCTGTTCTTTGATACCTTGACGATCACATGTGGATGCTCAGTCAAAGAGGTTTTGGACAGGGCAGCTCTGAGAAAGATAAATTTTCGGATTTATAGTGATGGCAGAGTAAGCAACTCCCTAAACCTTTCCAAAATTTTGTAGCATGATTTTTTCTGCATTAAGTTTCTAGACATTACATGTGCTAAACAGAATAAAATTATTTAAGATGGCTTGTAATTTGCTCAGATATATCAGTCAATTATAAAGATAATATAAAGAATGACATTGTTAAGTGATGTACTGAACTTACAGAATTAATCATTGTATTTTCTTTTTATGCCTATTTAAAAAGATTATCTAATTGTTTCATGTTAAATATGCCACTAAGGGCTAGAGTGGAAGGACTCTAAAACTTACTGAGAAAATGCAAGGTGACCTCCAGAATTCAGGTCCTGTGGCAATGTTTAAAGACAGATTGAACTCTAAACCACATTTTTGTAGGCACTAAAGACTTTTGACAATGTCTAACATGTTCTGTAAAATGGGATAGGGGGAGGGGGTGGTCTAGCAAAATGGGCAATTTTCCTATTAAATGGAAAACGCGTAGAAACATTAGAAGTGAGGTCACAAGTCTAGAAGCTTGTAAGCCATCTGGATTGGATGGTTTAGCAGGGGAAAGGTAGGAATTGGAAAATTTTATGTAAATAAAATGAATTTATTTATCTATTACGTAAAATGAAGTGACATTTACATATTTTTGGGTAGGTTGATTTTTTTTCTTTTTTTCCCTCCTGTGTTTCTGGAATATTTTTTCTCGACCAGAATAAATATACTATGCCTCTGGAGTTAAGAGCTTTGAGTAATTGCTGTTGCTTTTATCCATAGCTTGGAATATCACTCGATGAAACTGTAAATGAGAAAGACCTAGATGACATATTATGGATTTTTGGTTGCGAGTCTTCAGCTGTAAGTAGACAATAGATCATACAGGTTAAATTATCTGAATGTTTCAGAAGTTTAGTGAAAAGCAAAACTGCTCTTGAGACAGTGGGTGTCTATATGATGACCATTTGTTAAATACTGAGAATTTCAGATCCTCTTTTAAAGAAAGAGGCAGTATGAGATAACAATGTTTTATGTAACCAAGTAATGTCATTTTCTGATTGTGACACTTAGTCCTGTCGGTCAGCTTGGACACCCCGCGTTTAAGGTTTTACTTGCTTTGTGAGGGTTAGGCCATGGTGCTCAATTATTTCTCTCCCACTGGAATTTTTGTTGCATGTCATTAGTGATTAGCAGCAATACTTCCAAGATGAGGACTACTGAGACATCTGTACCCAGTTTTAATATAATGATGTCATGCTAGATATCTACAGGTACGTATGCTAATAAAGTTTTTTTTTTTACCTAAAGTGCTCATTAAATCTTGAGGCAAGCTGGTGGTATAAGCTAGTTCTGATGAAATTGACTGTGAAAAGAGATATTTCTATGAAAATATTTGACTCCACGTTTCTTTGTGTCAAAGGAGCTAATTGCTGAGAGTATGGGCGAGGAAACCAAAGGCATCCTTAGCACCCCATTTAAGAGAACTTCCAAATTCTTGACACATCAGGTTTTCAACAGGTTTGTGAAATGGCTGTATATCTCATGTTTTAATGCAATCTGAAAGTATCTCTTTTCAAATGTAGTACTGAAGTCAGTTGAGGATGGTTTTGTAGCTGTATTCACACAGTCACAGTTACTCTGAAATAATCTATTTAGTAGCATTTTTAGATACCTTTCACGTTTTAAATGAGCAAAACAATAGTCATGGTTACATAGGGGGTGTGCTTTTCCATTAATCTGCTACATTGTACAAGCTAGTAGTATCAGCAGTACAAGGAGTAGTACAGTACAAGGAAGAGTATCAGCAGTACAAAGACCAAGTATCAGCAGACTTACTAGAGCCCTTATACTCCATATTTACTGATAGCATTTCTGAGTGAGTGATGATAGGCATTTTTCATCCACATTGCTATTAGCAAGCATAAAGTACTGATTTGGAAAGAAGTATCCAGTATATATTAAAAATTATCCTCAGTCTTAATTCTTTTTTTATGGCTTTTACTATGTTAGAGCACAGATCAACCATCTGGTGTAGCTAATCTGCTTGCCTTAACACCACATTTTGTGTTCTCCAGCTATCACTCTGAGACAAATATCGTGCGGTACATGAAAAGATTAGAAAACAAAGATATTTCCCTTGTTCACAGCATGATTCCTTTGGTAGGTATTTACCAAAAAGAGAAAAAAATAGGTACTTACATACTTATTTGTATATTTCAATAAATACTAACAAATGTGTTTGTATTTTTAGGGGTCCTGCACGATGAAGCTTAATAGTTCAGCTGAACTTACAGTAAGTTGCAATAATACTGTCTTACTTGAGACCCACATGAGCAAACTATCTAGCCAGTGTGATTGTAGATGGGTAAAGACTGCTTTTGGTCTAGTAGTCCAACTGAGGAGGCAGTTTCAGAAGTAGGTAAAGTCATCAGGTCCTTTTTCTGCTAGGAAAAAAGCTCCAAAAAGCACAGTAGGAGTGCAACAACAGGAGAGTGAGTGGCTTTGAAGACTCCATTCTGAAAAAAATAATTAAAATAATTTTTGGAATTAGGTATCACAGTCCTGTTCCCTCATGTGGTGTTGCAGTACCTAACTTCTATCTGCTTTACAAATCTTACAATCAAATCCTCAGAAATACGGAAAGAGTCAGGTGGGACTGGCAATTCATGCTTCTTTGTCAGTTCGCTGTTTCTTAGGAGAGCACTCCTTTTCCCCAGGTGAGGAGCTGGAGTCCCCAGATACCTTCATTTTTCTAGATCGTAGCAAATGAAGCAGAGCCTTAACTAGGCTGTTTGGATACCAAATGACTTTTTGACTCTGAATGAGCTTCCTCTTTTCTCTCCCTGTTGACTTCTTGCTTTGATCTTTCACTAGGTTTCCTTTCATAGAATCGTAGAATGCTTTGGGTTGGAAGGGACCTTTAGAGATCATCTAGCCCCCACACACACTTTGTCCCCTTTTTCTCACTGCCTTCTCTATGTCTTCTTCCTTCGCTGTTTTCTGTCTTGTATATTCCCTTCTAACTAAAATGGATAGCAACAAAACTGTGTGAAACAAACTAAGTGTTATGTACTATTCCACATGACTCCTCTCTGTTTGCCCTGTGATCTCACAGCTCTACATAAGGGTAGATGACCTAGAAGGAGAAACTAAGGATTTTTAAGCATCTTCTGAATGTTAAAAACAAATGTTACTGGAAATCATAGAATCATTTAGGTTGGAAAAGACCTTTACGATCATTGAATTCAACCGTTAACCTAATACTGCCAATTCCACCACTAAACCATGTCCCTAAGCTCCATACCTACACCTCTTTTAAATACCTCCAGGGGTGGTGACTCAACCACTTCCCTGGGCACTCTGTTCCAATGCTTGACAGCCCTTTTGGTGAAGAAATTTTTCCTAATAACCAACCTAAACCTCTCCTGGCACAACTTGAGGCCATTTCCTCTTGTACTATTGCTTGTTACTTGGGAGGAGAGACTGACACCCACCTCACTACAACCTCCTTTCAGGTAGTTGTAGAGAGCCATAAGGTCTCCCCTCAGCCTCCTCTTCTCCACACTAAACAACCCCAGTTCCCTCAGCCGCTCCTCATAAGACCTGTGCTCCAGACCCTTCACCAGCTTCGTTGCCCTTCTCTGGACATGCTCCAGCACCTCAATGCCTTTCTTGTATTGAGGAGCCCAAAACTGGACACAGTATTCCAGGTGCGGCCTCACCGATGCTGAGTACAGGGGGACAATCACAATCACCTCCCTGCTCCTGCTGGCCACACTATTCCTGATACAAGCCAGGATGCTGTTGGCCTTCTTGGCCACCTGGGCACACTGCTGGCTCATGTTCAGCCGGCTGTCGACCAACACCCCCAGGTGCTTTTCAGCCAGGCAGCTTTCCAGCCCCCCTTCCCCAAGCCTGCAGCGCTGCATGGGGTTGTTGTGACCCAAGTGCAGGACCCGTTGAACCTCATACAGCTGGCCTCGGCCCGTCGGTCCAGCCTGTCCAGGTCCCTCTGCAGGGCCATCCTACCCTCCAGCAGATTGACACTCCCACCCAACTTGGTGTCATCTGCAAACTTACTGAGGGTGCTTTCAATCCCCTCATCCAGATCATTGATAAAGATATTAAACAGAATTGGCCCCAGTACTGAGCCGTGGGGAACATCACTTGTGACCGGCCGCCAACTGGATTGAACTCCATTCACCAGAACACTTTGGGCCTGGCTATCCAGCCAGTTTTTTTATCCAGCAAAGACTACACCCGTCCAAGCCATGAGCTGCCAGTTTCTCCAGGAGCTCCTGGGGGAAATGGCGTCAAAGGCTTTACTAAAGTCCAGGTAAACAACATCCACAGCTTGTCCCTCATCCACTATGCAGGTCATCTTGTCATAGAAGGAGATCAAGTTAGTCAAGGAGGACCTGTCTTTCATAAACCCATGCTGACTGGGCCTGGTCACCTGTTTGTCCTGTATGTGCTGCATGATGGCATTCAGGATGATCTGCCCCATAACCTTCCCTGGCACCAAGGTCGGACTGACAGGCCTGTAGTTACCCAGATCCTCCTTCTGGCCCTTCTCCAGTCAACTGGGACCTCCCTGGTTAGCCAGGACTGCTGATAAAGGATTGAAGGTGGCTTGGTGAGCACTTCTGCCAGCTCCCTCACTGTCCTTGGGTGGATCTCACCTGGCTCCATAGACTTGTGTGTATTTCTAAGCCGTCACTAACCATTTCCCCTTGGATTATGAGGGCTTCATTCTGCTCCCCGTTCCTGTCTTCCAGTTCAGGGGGCTGCGTACCTGGAGAACAACTGGTCCTACTATTGAAGACTGAGGCAAAGAAGGCATTAAGTACCTCATCTTTTCCTCACCCTTTGTGACTGTTTCTCCCTGTATCCAGTAAAGGATGGAGATTCTCCTTAGCCCTCCTTTTGTTGCTAATGTATTTATAGAAACAGTTTTTATTGTCTTTTATGGGAGTAGCCAGATTAAGTTCTAGCTGGGCTTTGGCCCTTCTAATTTTCTCCCTGCATAACCTCACAAGATTCTTGTAGTCCTCCTGAGTTGCCTGCCCCTTCTTCCAAAGGTCATAAACTCTCTTTTTTTAACTGAGTTCCAGCCAAAGCTCTCTGTTTGCCCAGGCCACATCCTACAATGCGGTTGGGAACTTGTCTTACTGCACAAGAAATGTTTGATTTTTATTTGAGCACAGGGCAGCTTCTTTCCTTTATAGAGTTTAACAACAAAACAGAGCTGTCTGCAGAATTTTTTGTTACAGCACATGCTTTATTTACTTTTTTTTTTTTTAATAGCCTATTTCGTGGAAAGAATTTGCCAACATCCACCCTTTTGTGCCCTTGGATCAAGCTCAAGGGTATCAGCAGCTTTTCAAGGATTTAGAGAAGGACCTATGTGAGATTACTGGTTATGACAAAATCTCCTTCCAACCAAACAGGTAGGAAATTGTTTCTGAACATTTGCTCCTTAACATGATTCAAAAAACTTGTCTCTAAAGAAAATGTGGAAGCCAAAAATAGAAGCAAGTTTCTAAGATTAAATTTGACAAAGCAAAGCCTTGAATGCAAGGTTATGAAAACAAGATTTGTTTTTTCAAAACTGCAGAACCTTATTTTGTCTTGTCTCTTCTAAAAGTTTAATGATTGGGTCTTTTCTATCCTCTTAATCTTTTTTCCCATGTTTTGCTCACTATGAAGGCTGGTTTCTTCACCATTGCTTGCTTAAAATGGTGATGTTACTGATATCCTCCCATAAGCTAAAATTAAAGATTTGAAATAGCAATAAGCTGTATGACCTGGCAACTATATAACTGTTGAAACTGGTATTTGATGCACTAGCTAATACTAGGTTTGACTGAAGGATGCCTAGGATCTGCATGCTCACTGAAATATATAAAGCAGAGCTAAATGAGTACTGCTGCAGCCTGTTTATGTCTGTTAGTAGTTTTAATACAAAATGAGTAGCAACGACTTACTCTACACTTAGGATGTCACTGAAGGAGTTCTTACATTTCACTGCATACATTTTACTATGCATGTCAGTATTAGTTTGCATCTCTAGTCAAGCACATAGTCCCCTTGCTAGGTGCAGAAATGGTGATCAACTTAGTCACCAAAAGGATTTAACATCATAGTGTAAGCACATAAAATGGCATAACTTTTTTCATTTACTGTTTGCAGAAAAGGCAAGAGCTGTTAATTAATGCTTGCCCATTTGTAATTTAATCCATGGGATATGCTGCTTTTAATTTGCTGACAGTCGCCTAAAACCATTGAGAAGAATTAGGGCTGGACAATTTGAAGTTTCAGTAGAGCTAGCACTTTCTGGTTTGTGTACTTGTGTAATAGGGTTTGTGTTCCTCTTGCAGTGGAGCCCAAGGAGAGTATGCAGGTTTGGCTGCAATCAAAGCTTATTTAAATGCAAAAGGAGAACGTCATAGAACTGTAAGTGTCAACACTCGTGTGGGGAAGAGCTTTGTGTGGGATGTGGAGAAAGGAGAGTTGATTCAGCAGCTGGGATTCACCTAGAGAGAAACTACGTTGTGTATCCTCATCTGTGACAAGCTTTCATTATTCCCTGCTTCCCTCATGGATCATGGGTACCATCTTAAAGGTCTTTCTTTACTTTACAGAGAGTGAGAGTGCAGAAAGGGGACTCGCTCAAAGGGTGATTGTTCTGGGTCTGGCTGGGATGGAGTCAATTAACTTTCTCCATTACAGCCCATATGGTCCTATGCTTTCGTTGTGTGGCTGAAGCAGTGTTGATAACACAGGGATGTTTTGGCTATAGCTGAACCGTGCTTGCACAGTGTCAAGGCTTTCTCTTTCCAAGTGTCCTGCCCTGCCCCCCGTTTCCCTCTCAAGGAGTAGGCTGGGGGTGGGCAAGAGGTTGGGACAGACACAGCCAGGACAGCTGACCCAAACTGACCAAAGGGATATTTTATGACATATAATGGCATGCTCAGGAATAAAAGCTCAGTGAAAGAGGGGCAAAGCAGGGAAGGTCATGGTTATGGCATTTTTTTCCCCAAGCAACTATTACATGTCCTGAGGCCCTGCTTTCCAGGAAGTGGCTGGGCATCTGCCTGGCTGTGCGGAGTAATGAATGAATTCCTCTTCTTGCTTTGCTTGTGCATGTGACTTTTGTTTTCCCTATTAAACTGTCATGCTCACAATCGATGAGTCTTCTCACCTTCGATTTTCTCCTTGTCCCATGGGAGAATGGAGTGAGTGAGCAGTGTGAGCATTTGGCCATTGGCCAGGTCAACCCATCACAACCCTTTTTAGCACCCAGCATGGGGCTTGAGGTAATGACAGTTTTGATCTGAGCATGTTAATTTGTTAATTGGCAGGCTCCTGTGTGTGTCAGAGAGCTTGCTGCTTTACTGTGTATTAGTCTAGGGCTTTTTAATGGCTGCTTTTACACTTGCTGTTTGCTGTGCTGCTTGTCAATGTATTTTGCTGTGCTTGGAAACATTCTGATAAAAGCAATAGCCACATGCCTGGACTGGCATACAGCCCTGGCTGTGAGGCCATTCCTGTGCTGCATGAGCTACCTTGCAGAAAGAACAAGGGATTACACATCCCTCTTCTCCTCTGGGGTTGATGTGTCCAGCTCTGTTGTGTGGGCTCCTGAGTTTTTTGTTCATCCTTATGTAAGATGTTTGATCCTATTATCTAACATTGTTGTCTTCTTGTTGAGCATGTGGAACATGGTTTGGTCCTGGCATAAGAGTAAACAACTTGTTGTTGAGCTGACGGAGAAACATGCCCCAAGGCAGCTGACCCCTGGATGACAGGGCTTGTAGGAGGGTTTGGGCAGGTGCCCAGGGCTCTTATCACCTCCTATAACCTGGGATTTTACACCTAAACAGGCATGCAATCCCATTGAATTGACACACCACTTGATGGAAGGGTGCTTTGCCTACCCCAGTGAGTCCCAGTAACTCCTAGCACTGTTTTGGGGCTTGACCTGTGCCTGTTGGGCCTCTGTGTAGCACCATCACAGCAGCAGGTGAAAGTGGGCCTCTGTTTCTAAGGACACCATGGTTGAGACAGGGACCCAAGCCTCAACCATGGTGATTGCCACAGTCGTAAAAAGGAAGCACTGGTAGTGGAGGTCAACAGAACTGTACCATTGATTAGTAAAGGAGGAGGAGGAGGAGGAGGAGGAGGAGGAAGGGTCCGATCAGGAAGCTGGTCCTTTGGCAAGGAAACATGAGGAGGAAGTGATAGAAGTAATCCAAGAGGCAGAAACCATTATGAATTTCGGCCGCCAGCCAGGCAATCATATTGCTACCCACTTGCTGAAATGCTGGATTGCTGGAGGGGATAGTCAGGAATTGAGGGTAGGGAAGCCCAGCAGCTGGGATCCCTTGCTATGGACCAGGGAATCAACAAAGAAATCAGAAGAGAGTTGAAAATCTGCAGCCTCTGGACATGGTTCCTGTTGAGTGTGAGGTGTTCTCTCAAGGGTGTTCTTGGCAATTACTGAGGCAATTGAACCCCTGCTGTGGAAGGTGTTCAGTATCTAAGAGAATTAGCAGTGGTGGCAGTGGTCTACAGTGACCTGGACAATAGACAGGCCTCCACAGATCTGCATGACATCCAGTACACATGGGCCATGTGAGAGGAGGTCTGTGGAAAATGCATCAGTGCCATATGCCAACTCACTGGTGGTGATAGACTGGCCACACCTTGAGACATCAACTGTGGAGAGACTGTCTTGCCAGTTCCAGGGTGTTTCAAGGACTCCACTCTCATCCCCACAGGCAGTGTCTTGGTTGTCAGGGGTGCCCTATGGAGTCAGCCTCCCCCTGCCAGAAAGAAAGGGAGCCCCAGGTGCACACCACATGGTTCTTCCTGTGTGGCTGGGCTAGGACACAAGGAAGAGGGACAGTGCACTCACCTCGAAGCTAAAAGCCCAGGTACGTGCACTGCAGAGGAAGACAGCTGCTAAGGAAGGACCAATCGAGAAGGCTGCTGCACCAGCTGCTGCCAAGACAGTGGAAAGCAACCAGCAGTCCCCCAGACACAGAATAATGGCTGAAAATGCCTCTCCGTCTGAGCTTGGTGAAGGGATTTCTGGTCTGACACCACGGGAGTCAGAGAGTGAATACTACAACCAGGAGTAAAGGGTCCCTGCTTCTGGCTAGGTGGAGGAAGGGGATAACAAACTCTCATGTACTGTATGGATTTCATGGCCTGGCACACTGGATCCACGACGGTATAGGGCTTTGGTGGAGACTTGTAAACACAGTGTACTGTAATGCCATCAGGGTAGGAGGGGGCAGGAGCCGTCTGGATTTGTGGAGTGACAGGGGGATGCCAGCAGTTGTCTGTGTTGGAGGTTGAGGTGAGCCTAACAGGGAACAAATGGCAGAAGCATCCTATTGTGGTGGCCTGGAATCTCCATGTATCCTTGGCATAGACTACCTCAGAAGAGGGTATTTCAAGGACCCAAGAAGGTACTGGTGGCTCTTTGGTGTGGCCACAGTGGACACAAAGAAGATTAAACAACTGTCTACCTTGCCCGGCCTCTCCATTGTAGGGTTCCTGCATGACAAAGAACAGCAAGTGCTTGTTGCTACCATGATGGTGCACCAGTGGCAGTATCGCACCAACCAAGACTTCCTGGTTACCATCCATAAGTTGATTCATCTATTGGAGAGCCAAGGACTGATAAGCAAGACTTAATAACACTTAAATAGTCCCATAAGGCCAGTGCAAAAGTCTGACAGAGGGTGGAGATTAACAGTGGACTATCACTGCCTGAACGAAGTGATGCCGCCATTGAATGCTGGCATGTGGGACAAGCTAGAATTCCGATATGAATGGGAGCCAAAGGCAGCCAAGCAGTATGCCACAGCTGATATTACCAAAGCATTTTTCTTTATCCCTTTGGCAGCAGAGTGTGGGCCACAGTTTGCTTTTGTGTGGCGGGGTGTCCAATACACCTGGAACTGACTGCCTCAGGGCTGGAAGCCCAGCCCTACCTACCTATCAGTCTTTGACTGGTACCAACTGCACGGGAACAGGGTGAAGCCCCTGAACACCTGCCATACATGGATGACATCATTGTATGGGGCAACACAGCAGAGGAAGCATTTGAGAAGGGGAAAAGAATAATCCAGGTCATTGGGAAAGCTGCTTTTGCCATAAAACCAAAGCAAGGTCAAAGCACCTGCACAAGAGATCCAGTACTTGGGACTGAAACAGCAACATGGATGTTGTCACACCCCTGGAGCTGCAATCAGTAAGATAATAACTATGTTCCCACCAGCTAACAAGAAAGGAACACAGGCTTGTCTAGGCATTGTGGATTACTGGAGAATGCATGTGCATGCCAGGTTACAGTCAGCTTGTGAGACCTCTCTATTGAGTGATTCTAAAGAAGAACTATTTTGAGTGGGGCCCTGAGCAGCAACAGGCCTTTGAACAGATCAAAGAGGAGATAGTTTGTGCAGTAGCCCTTGGGCCTATCCGTATGAGACCAGCTGTGAGAAATGTACTCTACACTGCAGCCAGGGAGCACAGCCTCAACTGGAGTCTCTGGCAGAAAACTCCTGGAGAAATACAAGGTCAGCCTTTAGGGTTTTGGAGCTGGCGGTGTTGAGGATCCAAGGCCCTCTACACTATGATTGAGAAAGAGATACTAGCAGTGTATGAGGGGGGCTGAGCTGCTTCAGAAGTTGGTACAGAAGCACAGCTCCTCTTGGCACCATGATTGCCTGTGCTGTACTGGATGTTCAGAGGGCGCTGCATAGAGTAAGTGGGTAGCATTGGTCATGCAACAGGCTTGGATGGGGAACCCCAGCCACCCAGGAATCCTTGAAGAGATCATGGATTCATCAGAAGGCATGAATTTCAGAGCGTCACTCAAGGAGGTGACTCACGCACAAGAAGAGCCATGATACAATGAGTTAGCGGAAGGTGAAAAGCAGTATGGTCTGTTTACCAGTGGATCCTGCTGTGTTGTAGGAAACCATCAGATGTGGAAGGCTGCTGTGTACAGTCCTACACAAGTTGTCAAAACATTCAAAGGAGAAGGCAAGTCAAGCCAGTTTGCAGAAGTTGGCCCTAGAGATAGTTGAATGAGAAAAGCAGCCAGTACTCTACGTCAATACTGACTCATGGATGGTGGCAAATGCTCTGTGAGGGTGGCTGCATCATTGGAAACAGACCAACTGGTAGCATAGACGTAAACCCATTGGGACTGCTGCCTTCTGACAAGACATTGCTGCCCAGGTAGAAAGTATTACTGTAAAGGTACATGTCATACAAATGCTCACAAGCACAAGGGCAGCACCACTGAAGAGTATCAAAACAAGCAAGTAGGCGAGGCTGCCAGAATTGAAGTGACTTAGGTGGACCTGGACTGGGAACTTAAGGATGAGTTATTCATAGCTCAGTGGCCCCATGAAACATCAGGACACCTAGGAAGAGACCTAAAAGCTACAAATATGCTCGTGATCAAGGGGGAGACCTAACCATTGAAGCCATCACACAGGCTACTCATGAATGTGAAACAGTGATTCAGTGAGATGGATCTAGGCCAAGATGTCCATGCCTCAGAATAAAATGGGCAATAACAATTTTTTGCTTTTTCAAGGTGGTATGACACACCCTCTCCAACTTTTTCAGTTACAAATGGAACAGGAACTGATATCTAAAACTTAGACTGCTTATAATGTCAGTTGGTTCCCAGTATAGCCACTCCTGACAGAAGAAGCAGAGAAGCCTCTGGTATGCCTTAGTAGCTACTCATAGAAGTCTCTAGGTTCATCCAGTTCTTGTCCATTCAAACTGTTTCAAATAAATATCTGTAGGGTATATGGCGATAACCTTGCTTCACAAAGGCCACAAAAACTGTAGATGAATAATAATGCAAATCAGTTTTGATTCACTGAGGATCATCTTCAGTTGGTAATGCTAGAGTCTAAAGGCTTGATTTGTATTCTCTTCTGTACTAACTACCTGAAACTTTGACCTCAAGGAGTCACTTCTCAGCTATACAATTGTAACCTGACAAAACAAAGTTCTTGTAAACCTGAGAGGTGATACAACTGTAGTTAACCCCAAAGAGGAAGCAATTCTTACTAATAGAATCATAGAATCGTTTAGGTTGGAAAAGACCTT